AAACTTGTTTGTTTCACTGCTTTTTATAACTTAGAGACAATTTTTATTTACTACATTGAATACATATTTCACATTACGAAGCAATTTAGAAGACAATTTCGTAGAATAATAGACAAGATTTTTTGAGATGAAAATGTTAAAACACTTGCAATAATGAATAGTATGATGAAATAAAATAATTAAATTTTAACATCGATAATAGAATAACCATTCGATGTATAGAAGGAAATCTTATTCAAACCTGAATACAACAAAAAAAAACTGCGTCTAATTCTAAAAGCACAATGAATATAAATCGTTTAAAAAAGTTCTAGGAAAAGTTTTTATACTACGAATGAAATAGAATAAAACTTCGAGGAAGAAAATCATAGTATTGATCATTGGTGAAACTGTACTCAAAAATGAATATTTCGAAGTTTGATGCTATGATCTAATGAAAGAAATGTATGCATCTGCATTTAAATACGAATACACTGCAAAATAATTATAAACTATCCCCAGCAGTCAAAAAAGAGAAATTAATGAGTGACAACGATCCACATTCTTTTTTCTTTCAATTCGTTTAAATTTGGAAGAAATCTCGGATTTTTTGAGTTTTAACATTTGATATGGTTTTTTACTTTAAGTACCCCCTCCCCCCCTCTGAAACCAACTTTGTTATTTTTCATCCGGTTTCAACCAAAATTTCCGAGAATGTTCGTCTTGACTAGAATAGCTTATGGTTAAAATATTTCCCCAAATCTCAAAGAAATGCACGAGTTCTAGTCGATTCCTTACCGTTTACGCGGGCAAGGGTTTCACAATAAGGATACGAGCTAACAAGCCCGCGCGGTTTTCAGATTGTAGAGCACCCTTGGGGCTAGATCGTAATAGAGCCCGATTTTTGAATTTCCCTTTGTTTGATTTTTAAAAACCCTTTTCCGTAAAATCCACGAAATTGTACGCAAAACTCCTGCTAACAAAAATGAAATATCTAACTTTTTTATTTCAGCAAAAGAGAAATTCAAAAATCGGACTCTATTACGACCTAGCCCTAACTGTTCTCTATTCAACAAAAAAACAATTATCTCTTATTTATGGAGTCGTTATTGAAAAATCCTTGCCTGCGTATAAGTTCGCCAAAATCAATTCATTTTTTGATAAACCATAGATGTTCTGAAAGAGGAGATTTCGATGCATCTTCCTACGATAAAACTTCAATTTCGACTCGTCTCCGAAAAATTGGATTTTCTGAGGGGGGCCTCCCTTAATATGATTAAAATAAGAGTGAAATCACCTGAAGAAAATTTGATTTTTTTTTCGAATCTTCTATAAAAATAATGATTGAAATCAGTTATATTTCTAAAAACAGAATTATATTAGTTTATTTGAATTTTAGTTATCTTAAATAATTTCATTTTAATTCATTGATTTCAACCCGTTTAGTTTTGATTAACATTTGTTTATTTTTTAAATAAGCTAAATTCGTTGTTACTTCAATCTGAAGCTATGAGCCTTGGTCAGATTTTACGATTATATTGAAAATTTTTCAAGATTAACGTAAATAATTTTTTTCAAATAAACTCAACTGTATCAATTATTTAGTTCTAAGAACTTAGGAGAAAAGAATCTACAAACGAAACTTAATCTACATACGTCAAGGTGGCAATTCGTTGAAGTTATTGAATAGATATGAGTCCATTTTAATTTAATTTACATTTTCTCGGCTACTGTTGAAAAGCTTGAAATGCAAGATTATCGAGATAAGTAGCGTTGGTAAATAAATATATTTTTCTGTCATACGAATAATAGGATATGTTCTTTTCTTGTTTCAATCATGTCAGTATTTATATTTCAATTTCACTTGGCTTGTCTATAGTGGGAAATCATGTGGACATTAGTTGCAAAATTGAAAGTGAGATTTTTGGTTTTTTGTAAATAGAGCTGCATATTTTTGGATAATAGACTATCTAAAGTCAGAATATAGTTTTACTATTATTGGCGAATTTCCAAATCAATTCATAATTAACAACTGATCTGTTTTTTATGATCTTTATGAAAAAGCAATTTTTTTATTAGATTTTCCGATTTTATATTGGTGAAATTATATGTTCAAATTCTTACCATGATGGGTGGGTAAATGATTCATCTATAGCCATACTCACACCCACCCTCGAAAAAAAACAGATATCAGATCCTGCAAGATCCAATAAGATCTTAACCTTGTAAGGTTTTTTCTATGATCTTGTTACAATATCGAACAATATCTTATATGCTGATTTTTTTAAAGATGTTCTCAGATTTTGATTGTGCGGTGTCAGCAAATAATCTTACAAGACTCAATGATTAAGACACTGATTTGGACAGACTGAATCCTTCTTGTCAGATCTTAACAGATCATATAAGATCCAAAAAAAGAAACATACACGGTACATAATGTAGATCTTGCCTGTTAGTATCTGATCGTGTATGGTCTGTCCTGTTTCTTTCCCTTTTTCGAGAATAGTTGAACAGTACCTGGGGAAAAGACTCGAATAGTTTACGTCAGTTTTTTTCTTCTTTTTCTATACTAATAGTGTAGAAAACGGTTATTTTTATTTTTCACCTTTCTATATTAATAGAGTACAAAACGGTTACTTGTATTCCTCATTTTTCTGTAGTGATAAAATAGTAAATCCTATTTATTTTTTATTTTCTATATTGATAACATAGAAAATCTTACTTTTTATTCTTTATTTTTCTACACTGGTAACAAAGATAACAATTTTTTTTATTCTCTATTTTTTGTATATTGTTGACATAGAAAATCTTAGTTTTTATTTTGTATTTTTCTATATCGATAATATAGAAAAATAAGAATTAAAACTAACTGATATTTATATTATCAATTAAAATCAATAAGAATTCAAAAATAAGATTTTCTATATTATCGTTATAGAGATATCAAAAATTAAAATTGAGATTTTCTATATTATCAATATAAAAAATCAAAAATAATAAATAAAATTTTCTAAACTGCCAATTTAGAAAAACAAGAAATAAAAATGGGAATTTCTATACTACCAGTATAGCAAAAATGAAAAATACTGAATAGGATTTTATATAATATCAAATATAGAGCAAATGTTGACTGTACTTGTTCTAAAATAAGACTGAAGTTTATGTGCAAAAAAAACGAAGCAAAGTAGCCGATCAGACTGATCATTTCCATGTGTATAAGAGATATTTGAGAAGTTTGATTTAATTGAAATAAATCTATAGTATTAATAAGCATTTTATATAGCTCTATGCCATCATCTATAAGTAGAAAATAAAATTATCTACTCGAATTTTATGTCTCACAATCTCTTTGATTTAAAAAGCAGAAAGTATTGTTTTGTTTCTGACTCTCATCTTCGAGTTGTTTAACACATAATTAAAGGTCTCATACCGTTTGACATGTAAATGTACTTTCTTCCAATTGCACTGAGACATTAAACATATTAAAAATACATGACATTACATGTAATAAAAATGAAAATTGATTAAATAGTATTAAATTTAATCAAGATCTCGATTATATGTAGATTCTTCATAGATAAATTAAGAAGGATGAAATTATTTTTAGGGAGTTTATAAAACTGCATGACATTTTTTATTACCTTCATCGGTTCCGTAACTGTCCATTCAAGATATAATCATAGAAGTATTGTTTCTAGTTTAAAGCTCATATCAATATCAATATCAATCTTTAGAAAATTCTAGACCAACAATAAAAATTTGAGGAAGAAATCTTCACAGTTATTGCTATTGAGAATAGCTAAAATCATGATGAAATCTTTTACGATCATTGTTTTTTTTTGTGAGAATCCTCAAAAATTTATACCTATTGAATAACCTACAAAACACAAACTTGCAAAGATTTTAGATCAATGTTTCGATAGAAGATTCGTATTGTCTTGTAAAGAAGTGAAAATACTTAATTGTAGAAAGTTCAAAATCGATCCGTGATCGAAACTACTATTGTTTAAAAAACCGTGTTTCATATACCCATACCCTATTAAGTTGAAAATTTGTAATACATTAGAAATGAATTCAAAATAAAAGATTTGATTGATTCGTATACAGATCATTGTTTGTGCTACAATGCAGAATAGTGAACATGACAGATTCTTCAAATATTCTTGAACTTGAGAGAGATTTGTTTTTGAGTTCTTCTTATCTACTAAAATTCGAACTTACGTATTTTTTTATCTAAACTTATCTTATTTAGCACTTCGATTAGCCTTTCTACAAACTACTTGTTTGTTTCAGATTCAGGAATAAATTACTCAATAATAAGTATGATGCAAAATTCATGGCATAAAATACTTTCGAATGGTGTATGATTTATATTTGTCACACATTCGTAAATGGAATAAGAAAGAAAAATACTTACACAAAAAATTTGTAATTTTTTTTATATGAATCAGTCAAAAACGTCTTATGCATGGTAGTTAAGTATAATTAACTATCGTTATTATCTATCAAGATGTTTTTAACGAATTCATATAAAAGTGGCAAATTTATTTTGTCTCATTTCACTCAGAAATGTGTGACAAACATAAATCATACACCGTTTCCTATCAACTGATAACAAAATTGTTTTTCCTTACGTTCAAATACTATTATAACTCGTTTTATTGTAAAATCCAAACAATAAAAAATGAAATAATTTTTAAATATATTTCAAACTCGAACTAACGAAATCAGTGAATATGTTGAAAAAATTCGATATAAAAGAAAATTTCATTTACGATAAAATTCGAGTTAATCACAATTTTTCACATTATCAGTTAAATTTTAGTTAGTTTCAAAATATTTGAAAACGTCAACAATATTTGTTTTCAACATTGAGAAAAGCCAGATTCTAATCAAGTTCATAAGTAAAAAGCTTTTGTAATTGAGAGCAGTTCAATATTGTTTAAAACAAATGAGAAGGACTCATTTCAATGACATTGATGTTTATTTTTACTTCATACTTTTGTTTCATTTTAGTACCAATGCGTGCAAGTTCCATTGATATTCGTCCGAGTGCAAAATGGGCACAGAATGGTATCTCTGTTGCTGGAGGAAATGGATCGGGCAGTGGAACCAATCAACTTTCTCTTCCATGGGGTTTGTACGTCGATGATGATCAATCCATTTATGTCGCTGATTGGTATAATCATCGTATTGTGGAATGGAAATCTGGTGCAACGAATGGAAAAGTAGTTGCTGGTGGAAATGGAGCTCATCGGTTAAACTTCCCACAAGATGTGATTATCGACAAAGAGAGCGATAGTTTCATCATCAGTGATTGGGAGAATGACAGAGTAGTTCGATGGCCTCGTCGAAATGGTACTCGTGATGAAATAATTATTTCCAATATCGTTTGCATTGGTTTGACAATGGACGACAATTGTTATCTCTATGTCGTTGACAATGGAAAAGATGAAGTGAGACGATATAAAATTGGTGACACTAAAGGAACAGTGGTTGCAGGTGGTAATGGAAAAGGTAATCGTCTCGATCAACTCTCTAATCCCCGCTACGTATTTGTCGACCGAGATCATTCAGTTTATGTATCTGATAATGAAAATCATCGTGTAATGAAATGGGAAGAAGATGCAAAACAAGGCATTGTCGTAGCCGGTGGTCAAGGAGAAGGAAAAAGTTTTACACAATTGAATCGTCCTCAAGGAGTCGTTGTCGATCAATTGGGTACTGTCTATGTGACTGATTCTTGGAATCATCGAATCATGCGTTGGCCAAAAGGAGCCACACAGGGAAGTGTGATTGTTGGTGGAAACGGTCAAGGAGCACGGTCAAATCAACTCTTTCTTCCCATAGGTTTATCATTCGATCGACATGGTAATCTCTATGTCGTCGATTACTATAATAATCGAGTACAAAAATTTAATATCGAATAAACTCAACACGATGATGAATTTTATTTTATTTTTGTTCTCTTTCTCTTACAAATAAATCGTGATTGAATGAAAAAATGATTTCATAGCTATTCTATTCTCTTCGCGCGTGCGCACGACCAGGAACCATCCTGGTGGAACCGTGGCGAGCGTAAAGCCCATGCACGCGCGGGAAGACCCACATCATCCATGCGATCTCATATCTCAGTGAGTCTGGGGGCCCGATCGTGTGCCATGGACATCAAGATAGTCCCTGGCCAGGCTTTTAGGGACTACCCGGAAGTCCTTCTTATAAGGCGAAACCCGAATCTCAACTTACCTCACTCACTCTAACTAGTCTCATCTCAACAAAGAAAAAGAAAAAAAAATAAACTCACCCGTTGATGTTGAATGATGACGTCTTTAACAGGAAAAGAAAAACATGAATATAAAAGATCACAAGAGGACTTACCACCCTCTGTATGATCCAATAAAGAAAAAAAAAGAAAAAAAAGAAAAACTGATACCTACATTCTTTTACACTGGATGACGCAAATGAATTACAAAGTAATTCAAATAGCATTAATTACAAAATAATTCAAAACTGTTAAAGCAGGCTCTACCAGGGTCTACGTGTGGGTGACGGAAAACGACTCACATCACATCTCTCTTGGTGTGGGTGCCGCGAAACAACTCACATCATATCTCTCGCTGTTGGTGCGGCGAAAGTCTGGTGGACTCTAGTGGAGTCTGGAGACCCTGGTAGACCCTGGAGATCCTAGTCGATACTGTAAATGATACTTTTGAATTATTTTGTAATTCATTTGCGTCATGGTCTCTTCGTTTATTGTGTTGTATTGATTTGAATTGTATAATTTTGTATCGTCGAAATCATTCTAAAATATAAAAAGAAAGAGTAATATTTGATTCAATAAATTGAATGATTTCACATAGAAAATCATTCATATTTATATGTTAAAAATTGATAATTTTGTTTTTTTTTTCTCGTCAGAGAGTGATGAAAAGATGATAGTAATTAAGCTATCATCTACATACACATACATTGAGATAATTGAATCACAAATATCTCAATGTATGTGTATGGGATAATGCTTAATTGATATATACAATCATTATGTCATATTATCATTGATCATCAATGATAACCTGAACAATGACGACTTACGGACGAGAGAAGAAAACGAAAAAAAAATATTGTCGTGACCTATATTATTTTTTCATTCTTCTCTCACTTCCATATTCAGTTGTGAGCACGAAACAGACGAGCACACAATATTGGAGTATGTTCATATCATTCACTTCTTTTTTGTTCTGTTCGATAGATCAACTTTGGGATATGAATAAACAGTTTATTTTATTTTAAATCAATTTAAATGAAATCATTGAAAAATGATTGATATTGGATTTTAACAGTTCATTCAACATTAAATTTATTTGCTGCTGGTAAGATTCTTTTCATTTTCAAAAATTAAAAGTAAAATAAAATATTTGTATGCTACATCATGATAATCAAATATTCACGACGATTGGAAATTAGAACATTAAAAAATGTTCTTCTAATGTAATTACAAAGGTAAATTTTTTCAGAATTTTTTAAAATAAATTAATTGTTTTATTTTATTTAATAATATTGTTGGTGGTCCACGTTCGAAAGATGCTGATGAATCAACAAATTCAATATAAAACTCCGAATGATATGATTTATTCGAATTGAACGTTAGGATTTTAAAAAGGTCTAACATTTCAAAAAGAGAAAGATATTTTATCTAAATTGTTCGATACTTTTAAATGTATATTCTTCTTTTCTAGTATGTGAAGGTCGTCGTTCATCTGATTTAAATGCCATACGGCTTGCTTTAAATCTTTTTTATGGATTTTAATAAAACATAAAACAAAATTTAATTAGCCAATTGTAATGAAATATTTTATGCTGATAGAGGTCTTGATTAATTCGTGAAAATGATCATATTAATATATATGATGCTTAACAAAAATGTTCATTAGCAAGTGTAAGAAAAGGCAAAGTTAAATATACAATGTGGTCAAATGATATGAATTACTTATCATTATTAGGATGATTCAGGTGTTTTTCTTCATACAACATCAAATCATATTAAGGATGCACTTATGAATGGTGATCATGGAATTATTCATATACTTGATTTATATATTTATATAACAAAAGTTAAAGTAATAGAAAATACGATGAAGTAAAATTTACAAATTTCTTTCCAAAAATCTTTATCTTGAAAACAAATAATGCAAAAACAAGATTTGGCTTAGCACTTGAATATAGAAATATTGATGTAAATTATTTGTGGTTTCTTTTAAATAGTTTCAATTATCTATTTCTTGGAAAATGATGAAAATTGGTTTGAAAAATTTCTTATTGTTTTTATTTTAGTTTATTTTTTTTGTTTAGCTGAAGTACGAAAAGATGTTAGTAGACAATTTCAAATTGCAATCTTATTAGGGGATGTTGAAGAACGCATTAAATTTCTTAGACAAGGCAATCAAAGTAATATTTTATATTTTTTCTCTATGAGATTGAATTATGTTATGTCATTTTTATACAACAGAATCATTTGATGAAAAAGTAATTTATTAGTGACAAAATTCTCATGGTAATACTTCTTCGGAGGGGATTTTTAAAAAAAGCAAAAGAAATATATAGAAAATTGTAATGTTAGTTTTCTAATATTTTCAGCTGATAGTCTTCAAAATTAGTTATAGATTTTCGTGTAAATATACCAGTTTACTTGGGATATGAAATAATTTTTAAGAATCTTTAGTTATGTCCAGCACATCATTTATCTAAAGATTTTGCTGTACTATTGTATAAAGATGTTTCTGATACTTCTTGAAGTTTTTCTCGACATTGAATGATAAGTTTTTTTAAATAAATTGTAAAAAAATCATCATATAGTTAATTTAGTTTATTTTCTCTGATTGATATTCATTAGAATGTAGATTAAAAACAAAATAAGAAGACTTCATATTCTGTTTCAAAAAAGGAATAAGCCGGTAGATTGAGATTTTAACAAAGTTATTACTATTACTTTTTTTTTGTTTAATTGATATGTTAGATATGAAATAATAAGATAGACATACATTTAATCAATATTAATCTCGTGTTAAATTTAGTAATTCAAAATAAAATATTTATTTATTTTAGTTACCTGAAATAAATCTACATGCTAAATTAATTTTATCACCATGTTCAATAAGTCAGCAAGGATCAAAGCAAATTTAATATCAAACATAACAGTAAAACTTGCTTTAAATCTTCATATTAATGAAACAGCAACAAGTGGTTGAGATTGGACTGATGATGAAGTACCAATTGATGGTGATGAAGATGATCTTAATAGAGAAAATCTTAATAACAATCAAGATGAACAAGATGAAGGTTGGGGTGATATTGAAATTGAATTACCACCTGATCTTGTATGTTTTTATTCAAATATATAAATTATTGATTTATTTAATAAATATTTTTAAATTTTTATTTTAATTATTAAGGCGTGATGCACGTTCACCAAAATTATTTTATCTAGCAGTTGGATTTAAATTAGAAAAATTAGTTGTACGTTGTGAAATCGCTTATCTTTTAACAAAAAATGGAAAGTTTCAAGATCAACAATGGATTGAAATATGTAAAGAAAATATTGTTGATTTACAAATGCCAATGGCAAAAAAAGATCTAGCAAAAGATAATGAAAAACGTTCATGTGAATTAGCTACTGATTTTACTCATTTACAATTACAACCAATACATAAAATCATGACATTAAAATTTGCACTTAATCAAGTATTGTGAATTAATATCTCAGGTCTACTAGTAAAGAAATCTTTATAAAAACATAGCTATCTTTAATGCACTCAAAGATATGTCATATCTGTTGATCGAAGTTGTTCATGTTGTTTTGATTTATTTGAAACAATTGAGTTTATTCTTTGTTAAATGAAACATAATTTTCGTTCAATTACTTTAGAAGACGGACAAAAAAATAAATAAAAACTTTATTATTATTTTGTTTAGACACGGAAAGTATTAAGTGTACGTGAAAAGAATCCAATTGATGAACATCCATTAAATTATG